AAAAGCCTCCAATACAGGAACACAATGTTGCCAGCCAATCAAGACAAAAAAAGCCACAAAACAGACAGAAGATATTAGAAACACCAATCAAGCAGAACCACAGCAAACTCCAAGACCAATAAACACAGACCAAGACTCCCAACCAATCAGGATGAAGAAAAAACCATTCTGGCACAGTAGTAGGCTAGCCCCAAATTTAAATCTGAAACCGCTGTAAAAGCCTGACTCACAGTCGAACACAATACAGAAGCCTGATGATGGCAGATGAGATTCTGCCGAAGCGTTGCTACAACTTGAAAAGCACAACTATAATGACATGGGAAAATACCCGAACAAAGCTGAATGCCATACATGTAAGTACCCGCGAAAACTTAAGAAAACAAATATATATATATATATGGCATTCGGCTTTATTCGGGTATTTTCCCACATCATTGTAGTTGTGCTTTTAAAGTTGTAGCACAGAAAATTTATATATAAATTTTTATATTTATATTGTATATATATAAAAGCAAAATACACATCTTCACAAAATAATTGTACACACACATATACACATGTACGCAAACACACATTTAGTTATAACTAACTAAAGGAATGGTTGAAAGTCAATAACTAGACTTTAACCACTCCTTTAGTGACCATTCGACATTAAAACAGCACAGAAAAAAATCTGACTTATGACCATTTTTCACATACATGACCGTTGTGGCATCTCCTTGGTGATCTGAGCAAAATTCGGTTGCTTGGCAATTGACTCACATTTATGATGGTCGCAGTGTCCCAGGTCCTGAGATCACGTGGGGAACGTCAAATTCGCTTCACAGCCGTGTAACTAACTTACCGCCTGCGGCGATTTGCTTAACAGCAGTGGCAAGAAAGGTCATAACATGGGGCAAAACTCACTGAACAGCTGTCTCGGTTAGTGATGAATATTTGGGACTGAGTTGTGGTCATAACATAATTAGTGTTGGAAGGGACCTTGTAGGTCATCTAGTCCAACCCCCTGCCCAAGCGGGAGACCCTACAACATTTCTGACAAATGGCAGTCCAGTCTCTTCTTGAAAGCCTCAAGTGATGTAAGTTGAGAACTACCTGTAATAAAAGGTAGTCCTCGCTTAATAACAACAGGTAGTCCTCGCTTAATAACAACCATCTGTTTAGCGCCCGTTCGAGGTTAAAAGAATCCCAACCGTGTGACGGTTGTGGAGTCCTGCAGTCACCTTTGCAACCTCCTTAAAAGCAACATCAGTGGGGAAGGTCACCAATCACGGGATGTCTCACTTAACGACCACAGCAAAAAAAAAAGTTGCAGAATTGGGCTCCGTCACATAGGCCTCACTTTAAGAGCTTTAAGAGCTGAATGGAGAATTTTTAGTTGTCAGTGGAGGCCTACTTTGTATTATTAGTCTGTATGACTTGGGCTTCTAAGTCTGGCCTACTTTGAAGGGCTCATCTTTGGGGGAGCTTTGGTTGCCATCTTGACTTTTTTGACCCCTGAATGGCATCTGGTCAACTGCTCTGCCTTGGCTCTGTCAGCCTGAGAGTTTGTCTCCTCAGGTACCTGGCCAGCGGCTCTGGGGACACCACCGTCCGCTTCTGGGACCTGAACACGGAGACGCCGCATTTTACTGCCAAGGGTGAGTCTTCACA